CCCCAACCCACACACAGCCGGCACACCTAAAGCTGGGTCCTCAGTTTCCCTTGGACGCCTCGGCTCCCCGTCCACGTCTACAGTGGGTTCGGGCTGCTGAATTTTACGTGCTTCCCCCACGACCCAGTGGGCCCAACGCCTGCGGCCTCACGTGGCGGTTCATCAAGCTGAGGTATAACCGACCAGGGAGCTCCATCCCCCGGCCAGCTTGCCAGTTAGCGTGTGACAACCTGGGTGCTCAGGCTCCTCCCGGGTTCCCGGCAGGGAGACACAGCCTCCACCTGTGCGCCCACGGCCCCTGCACCGCACCCCAGCACCCTGACCGAGGCCGGGGGAAACCCACAGGCCCTGGCCCTGAGCCCCTGCCTGGCCTTGCTGCTCCAGGACCCTGTGCCTGCTTTCCTTCCCCTCCAGAGAGCAAAACAGGGGCCCCACCCTCCCCACTGATGTGGAGGGCAGCATGCACTGCAGCCGGACCCGGACCTAGACCCCCCCCCGTCCCCCCCCAGGGAAGCCCACACCCCTGCCAAAGCTGCCCTCCCCAGGGGGAGGATGTTCTCAGGGCCCCGCGCGGTTCAAATGCCGCGGACTCCTCCAGCGGCTTGCGGGAGCCCGAAGACCTGTCCAGGCACCCCACCTGGGCACGAGGGCAGGGCCATGCCCAAAGCCCAGAGAAGGACTTTGTTTCCACCCAGGCTCTGCCAGTCCTTTGCAAACCTCAGAATTGAAGCGTGTGCCTCGGGACCCTTCTGTCAGCTCCTCCGCAGTCAAGCAGGGGCCGGGACAGGGGCAGGTCCGCCAGGTCAGGGGTCCTGCCCACAGCTGCAGCTCCTCCCCTCGCAACTGAACAGCCCTGCAGCCTCTTTCCTACGCCAGCTGGAAACACTACTGCGGAACAGCTCGCTTTGAAGGGCGCGGTTTATTTTCAATTCCTTACACCTTTACATCACGTTTCAAACACCGCACAGAGCGGAACGGGGCCGGGGCAGCGGGACTCGCAGCTCACAGGCTCGTGGGGCGCCACCGGACCAGGAACGCGAGGAGGGCCCCGCAGTGCTTTCTCACGGGGCTGCGTCCCCGTGCCCACTGCGCACCCAGGAGGCAGGACGGGTCCTCCCCACCATGCTGTCCCTCAGGCTACCGTTAGAGCCTCGAATCCCAAGCCACCCGTCACGCCACTGACTTCTCCACGGAGGACTGCCGGACTCCCCGGTGTCCCCCGGGGTGGGGGCGGGGAGGAGGGCGCCTTTCCAATAAACTCAGGACGCGCTGATGCGTCCCTGGCCGGGCGAGCGCGGTTTCTGAGCAGCGCGTGTCGCAACGTCAACCCGGGCGCCCCGGCTCCGTCCATGCCGGGGAGCGAGAGCCCACATGCCGAGCTGCGGCTGCACTTGCTCGGGGCTGCCCAGGGGTCTCCTCGTGCCGCCGCCCAGCTCTTCCCCACGGTCTCCGGGCGGCCTGAGACAAGCCCGGGGGTCCGCCACCTGGGGGTGGGCCCAGAGCTCCAGGCCCAGGGCTCCCGCCGACCGCACGTGCAGGGAGGGATGCGCTCGGGCACCGCCGGCCCCCGAGCTGGGTGCGGGGACAGACCCGCGGCGGCGGCCTCTAGGAGGCAGGGGGACCGGACGGCACGAGCGCCGCGCTGAGGCAGGCTCAGCCACGGTGCCGCGCGGGAGGCCCACGCGGAAGGGCCGCAGCCGGACTGCGGGGCCGGGAGCCCCGCAGACCCTCCTCGGCGCCGCGAGCCCGCTCCGCCCTTCCGCGCGTCCGCGGAGCGGGGCCGCGCGCACAGCGGGCTGCGGGGGTGGCCCCGGAGAGCCGCCCCGCCGCCGGCCCCAACTCCGCCGCGGCTCACCTAGCTCTGGGCCGGGCTGTCCGGCCGCGACCGGGAGTCGAGCCCCGCAGCAGGGGGCGCCGGGCGGCGAGCTGGGCGCAGGCGCGGGCCGGCAAACGTGGAGGGCGTGAGGTCACGGCGCGCGGACGGTCGTGCGCCGGCGCAGTGGGACGTAAACACAGGCGCGCGCCGGGGGGCCGCAAGGGCGGGCGCGGGCGCAGGCGCAGGCGCAGTGGGGGCGAGGAGGGCGCGGCGCAGGCGCATTGGCCGCGCTCGCGATGGGCGGGGTGTTGACGGCGCCGCGATGGCTGCCCGCGGGTGTCGGACGCGCGAAGCCCCGGGCCCCTCTCAGAGCCCGGCCTCCTGACGCCGCCAGTGGGCGGGGCCGCCCGGGCCGCCTCCGCCGCTGTCATGTACCCGCCGCCGCCGCCCCCGCCGCCGGCGCCGCGTCGGGATTTCGTCTCGGTGACGCTGAGCGCCGGCCAGACCTACGACGGCAGCAAAAGCTGGCGGCGGCGCTCGTGCTGGAGGGTGAGACGCCGGGGCGCGGGGCCGCCAGGGAGCCGGGTCGGGGCGCGCTGGGCCGGCCTGCGGCCGCCTCTCTGGGGCCGCGGGCTCTGCGGCTCGGGGGCGGCGCGCGGTACCCCGCGCGGAGAGCCGTCGGTCGGGGCGGCGAGGCGGGAGCCCCGCCCGGGCCCGCGCCCGCGCGTCCCCGGCGGCCTCGGGCTGCAGCGCGTCCGCCCCCCACGTCTGGGCAGAGGCGAGGTCCCGCCGGCGGCCGGAGTCGGAGCCGGCGCGCGCCCGCTGCGGGCGTCTGTGCCCTGCCCGCGCGGCGGCTGGTCCGTCCCGGCCGGAGGGCACCTCCCGCGGGGCAGACCCCGGGCCTGGGGAGCGCCTGGCCGCGCGGGGCTGGCGGCGGGTGGGGAGGTCCGCGGTCGGGTCGCTCTCAGTGAGGAGCCTCCCTGCCCTTCCGTCCCTCAGAAGTGGAAGCAGCTGTCGAGATTGCAGCGGAACGTGATCCTCTTCCTGCTCACGTTCCTGATGCTCTGCGGGCTCCTGTCCTACGCCAGCGTGGCTGACCAGTGGCGAGGTATCGGCTCCACGTGCGCCTGGCCTGGTCTGCGTGTGTCTCCGAGGGCCGGCAGGGCAGAAGCGGGAGGTCGAGGGCCAGAGCGCTGGCGGCTGTGGGGCTGGCAGGTGGCTGTGCGTTTCCCGTGGTGAGACGGCTTCCTCGGAGCCTGGCGGAGTCGCGGCACCTCCACGCCCTGTGCCTCGCAGAGAAACGGAGGTCCGGAGGTCCGGAGGTCGCAGGCCCCGTCCAGACGCGTCCCCGGAACTTGCGCACGCGTCTTACCCAGGGTCTGGAACAGCCCCCGCCCCGGGCGGAGTCTGGGGAGCGTGTGGGGAGTCCTGGTGAATTTCTCTGTTGGGGCCCTGGCCTGCAGCAGGGAGGCTGAGGAGCCGCTGCGGGGGGGCTCAAGCCAGCGGCCTGCTCCCTACCCTTTGCGGTCCCTGGAAGGGAAGAGCTGAAGGCCACGTATTCGTGGGGCGTGGGGTGGCGCGCAGGACTGGAGCTGCCGAGGGCTTTCAGAGAAGCTGGATTTCCTCTGGCGTCGTTGGTTCGTTTCCGTGGCTTTCCCCGGGGCTCACGCTGTCCTGTCGTGAGGAGTCTCGCCTGTCTCGACGGGCTGCGCGACACGCTCGGAGTCTGCTCCGGGCCGTGTGGGCTGCTGGGGACAAAACCGCCTCTCGTTTAGCGGGGAGCGGCCGGTCCGCGGAAGAGCGGAAGAGGAGACCAGCGGACCCGCCCGTCCTGCCAGCTCCTCGGAAAGCAGAGGACGTCCCGCGCCTCTTACCGCAGGTACGTCGGGTGATCTACGCGTGGGGTCGTCCCCGGGCTCCGTCCCGCAGCGTCTCGGAACAGCGTGTGGCGTTTCGGGTAGACGGGGAGGACGTCTCTCTGTCCCCGTCTGTGTGACGTCTGAGCCTCAGGCTCCTTGTGCTGGGCCCGTAGGATGATCCTTGGGGCGGGAAAGAGGAATACTGTCTGCTTCGTTCTTCTGGAACGCCTGCTGGCGCGCCAGGTCGTGGGTCTGCCGGCGAGCAGAACCGTCCCTTGCCTCGAGGAGCTGCGGACTGGCGGGGGCCGGGGGGGGGGGAGGCGAACCTCCTGGGAGGGGAGAGCAGTGGCCGCCGGGAGGGATAAGGCTGGCGCCGGTCCCGCGGTCGGGGAAGCCGCTGTGAGACTCTGCTGGTTCTGGGCAGGGTCCGGAGAGCTGGGCTTGAGTTGGATGAAAGTGCCTAAGGCCTGGGGAGCTGGGCTTGCGCAGGGACTTGAAGCTTCAGCGGGTGTGGACGGGGCAGGGGGCCGGGATCAGTCCAGGCCGGGCCCTACGGGGCTGCCCTGGGGAGCCGCAGGAGGCCACATTCGGGAGCTGTGTGTGAAAAAGCGGGTGTTCTCCGGCGTAGGGAGGGCAGGCGGGCGCTTCTTTTACTCGTTCTGGTCCCTCCCTCGCACACGGTCTCTGCCCTAGCGGTCTCTGCCCTAGCGGTTGGGAAGGCAGAGCCAGCCTGGGTGTTTCCCCACGGAGAGACACGTTTCCAGAGGTGTTTCGGGAGGTCCGTGATCCAGTCTCTGGTGTCCATCAGGGGCCTGGACGGTAAGGGGTTAATATGCACACCTCCCCTGGTCCAGGCCTGGGGACTGGGAGCCCCCGGCGGAGGCCACGTGGACTTTGTCTCTTGCTCGGACTCCAGCACTGGTCCCCGAGACCTGGGCCGGCCTCGGGGCTCTGTTTCGGCCAGACCCCCTTCTCCCGGCCACGTCCCTCGTGAACGTCGTCACCGATCCCGTGGACGCTGAGAAGCAGAGGTTTTTCCCGATTCGCAAGGGGCCTTCCTCCCGTCCTCTGGGGGAGGCGCCTCGTCCCGCCCTCTGTCGAGCACTGGCTGCTCCCGGCCCCGGTGCTCCGTCCCTGGACTCGGCGCCCTGCCCTCGCCACAGTATCCCGAGGGTGAAGCGCAGGAGTCCCGGGGCACTGGCCCGCGGCCGTGTTCTCTCTGCGGCTCCATCCGCGGGGGCGTGGTCCGGACCCTCTCTTGCTACCTTTAGGGTCTGTGACAGCCTGGGAGCATCCCGGACCAGGAGTTCAACCCGCCATCCAGGGCTGTGCCAGCCCATTGGCACATCTCCATCCCTGTCGGCCAGGGCCAGGAGATGGCGAGTCGGGATCTCCCGGCCAAATCTGCGTGTCGTGATGAGAAACAAAAGGGATTTCCTCTGGGGCCGTGTGCTGCCAGCCGGTTCACACACTCCCCGGGGTTGGGCCGGATTGGGGAGCGTCCCGGGGGGAAAGGAAGGGCAGCCCACAGGCAGTTGAGCTGTTTTCACGGGTGACTCTTGTTTTTATCTAGAAGCCTCAAAGGCATTTCCGACGGGGACCTCCCAACCTGCAGATTCGAGCCCCCAGTAAAGGCTCCGAGGACAGGAGGCAGGACGACACCAAGTGGAGGGACGAGGCAGTGGGTGACGCTCGTCGGGAAGGAAACACACGGAGAACGGTGGTCAGGTACGAGGAGCGTCAGAGACGGGGCTGGACGTGCAGAAGCGCTGAGGCCCGCGTGTCTGGCGTTTTCTGCAAACCAAAGAGGAGGAGGGTGAGCGCAACGTCTGAGGTACACGTTGCTCCCAGAGCAGGCAGGGTCCAGGGCGGGACCCTGGGGCAGGGGGGCAGACCCAGCCTTCTCCTGCTCGTCCTGCCCAGAGTGGCGGGCAGCAGGGAGCCCCGCCGGGTGGCCGGGACCTGGGGGCGTTTCCGTCTCCGCCCTCAGGCTGGCTGACTGCTCCTCCTTCTCTCCCTGAAGCTGGCGGGGAGCGGTGATTGAGCCGCAGTCGGGCACCAAACTTCCTACGAGGAAGGCGGAGGCGCCCCCCAGACCTTCCTCACAGGCCCCCAGGATTCAGAACCAGGCAGGTAAGACCCCACGGGCACCCTGTTGGGCCTCACCTGGACATTCTGACGAGGAGGGCGCGTGGACGCCCAGAGGGGGAGCACCTGCCGTCCCTCCGAGTGCTGGTCCCCCGTGACACCCGGGCGGGCCGCAGATCTCTTGAGAGCCTGGGGAGGACACGGGGCTCCTTGGCGGCCCATCGCTGCAGCCCCTGGCCGCCCACGTGGGTGAGAGACTCGTTTCCCAGCCTGCGTCTGTGCCACGAGGGGCTGGGGGGAGGCACCTGGGGAACGTGGAGACGCAGCCACCCCTCTGCGTCTCCACCCAGGCCCGACGGGTCCCAGCAGGTCTGCATGGTCCGACGCGGTGGCACCGGGGTGGAGGGCCTTTTGGGCGCAGGCGCGTCAGGAGCCCCGTGCAGAGCTGAGGCGGGGCCGGTCACGGCCAGGGCAATGGGCCTGGTGGAGCGGGGGCTCGTGCCAGGTCAGTGAGTCTGGGGCCCAGGCTGTGATCCTCTGGTCCCGATTGCTGTTGCCTCTGAAGGAAGGGGGACGTGTGGGGGACACTGAGCGATCGTGTGGCGTAGAGGACAGACGGCAGCACCGTGGGTGTCAACGCGGGTGGGCCTCAGACCGCACCGAGCGCCCATGAGCGGCGCCGCCATCAACTCGCACGGTTGTGTCCCCACGGTGGCTCCGTCATTCGTGCCCCGTCCTCCCCGGTGTGGAGGGCAGAAACCTCGTCCCCCACACGAGTCGGGAGGGCACCCCGGAAAGGCTCCAGGGCGGCCGTGGGTGCACCTGCTCCGTGTTAGGTCCTCCTCGAAGACGCCCGGGGCCGATGAGGTGCGACGGGGCACCCGGGAGATGAGGCGCTCCCGTCCAGGTCGGCAGCCGCCAGCACGCCCGGCGCCCCCGAGGCCGAAGGGCACGGCGCAGCCATCGGGTGCTCAGCGTGTGGCCCCCGGGCCCCCGGCGGAGGCACACGGGAGACCGCGCTGTCCCGTGCGGGCCCCAGAGGCCTCACCGCCCCGGCAGCTGCATCCAGCCGTGAGGACCCGACCTTGGGCGTTGTCCCCTGCTGCTGCCCCCCCACCCCGTGCGGGGCTCCAGAGGGGCCCTGTCTGAACCCTGACCGGCACCGGTCCTGGCGACCTGCTCTCTTCCCTCCAGCCTCCCCGAACGAGCGCCAGAGGGCCGTGATCGACGCCTTCCGCCACGCGTGGGCCGGATACCGCAAGTTTGCCTGGGGCCACGACGAGCTGAAACCTGTGTCCAGGTCCTTCAGCGAGTGGTTTGGCCTGGGCCTGACGCTGATTGACGCCCTGGACACCATGTGGATTTTGGGCCTGAAAAAAGGTATCCGCTGCTTCCCTCGCACGCGGCCAAGTTCTCCTGGGGTGACTCTGGGGCGAGCGAGCTGTTGGTGGGGGCGGTGGGGGGCTGGGGAATGAAACGCTGCTGTTCCCATCCGGTGCGCGCTCCCTTCTCGCGGGGGCAGGATCCGACGCGCGGGGCGTGGGTGGTGGCTTTCCCGCCTGACGTCCGGCGTCCAGGGCCGGTTCCAGCCGGTTCCCCTGTCGCCGCCGGAAGGGGCCCTGTGGCGAGAGGCGGCACGTGGGGCCACGGGCTGTCCGCGCCCCGCCTCTCTCCCTCACGTCCCCCTTACGCCACGCTGATCGGGTGGCACGGGGATCACGCGTCGTTGGTGATTTCTGAGCTGGGACTTCAGAGGCGCGTTTTAAGTTGTCTGAGGAGGCCCGAGACTCCCGCCGAATCACCCAACGCGGCCCTTTGTGCCGGGATCGTCCACCGTCGACGGCCCCTGCTCACGCACGCACGCGGGCTCCCTTTCTCTGCGTGCCTGAAGTCGCGGGGGTTCCTCCCCTCGCCCCGGGACCGGACGTGACGAACCTGTGGGGGAGGGGGGGAGAGAGAGACACAGGAATGCACGGGGCCCCCGAGCGAGAGGTCACGGGGCACCCTAGGCCCCCCGATCCGCTCCCCTCTCCACACCGTTTCGTGTCACAGAGTTTGAAGAGGCCAGGAAGTGGGTGTCTAAGAAGCTGCGGTTCCAGAAGGACGTGGACGTCAACCTGTTTGAGAGCACGATCCGCATCCTGGGCGGGCTTCTGAGCGCCTACCACCTGTCCGGGGACGACCTCTTCCTGAAGAAGGCTGTGAGTGTCCCAGTGCCCGCGGGGAGGACGGGCCCGAGCGAGCGTGGGCGTGCGAGCGGCTGTCGCCCGGCTCCCGGGATCCGAGGAGGGAGGGGTGGGGAGGGGTTCGGGGGCGCGGGGCGGGGGGGGGTTCTGTCCCCAGCGCTGCCGCTCCTCTGCTGGAGCCTCGTGGGCGCACACGCACGTGAGTGGTGTCGCCCTGCTTGTCGTCCCCGCGGCTTGCAGGGACGTGCTCTCGGAGCTCCCCAGGGCCAGCTTGGTTTGGTGGCCATGGAACGTGGAGGCCACGCGGGGCCAGTAAAGTCCCGTGTCCGTCCGCGTGACTGGACAGAAACGGGGGATGGGCTGGCCCCGTGGGACGGGGGCGCGTCCGCCGTGGGGCAGGGAGGCTTGATTGCCCGCTGTGCTGCACATCAGGAGGATTTTGGGAATCGGCTCATGCCTGCGTTCCGGACGCCCTCCAAGATCCCGTACTCCGACGTGAACATCGGCACGGGGGCCGCCCACCCGCCCCGCTGGACCTCGGACAGCACGGTGGCCGAGGTCACGAGCATTCAGCTGGAGTTCCGGGAGCTCTCGCGCCTCACGGGCAATAAGAAGTTTCAGGTACGGAGGGGCCGGGCTGCCCCGAGACGCCCCCTCTCGTTTCCTTTCCCGTTCCCCGTGGTTCGTTAGCAGATCCTGCTTTGCCGGGGACAACAGAGGCCGGGGTGTCGAGTCGGCACCCGGGGGCTGAGTCCTCGCCCCGGCCCTGCCCTGCAGCAGGCCTGTGTCCTCGGGGTCCCAGCCACCCGCCTCCCACGTGCCGTGGGGTCGGGGGCAGCGGCGCCCGCGGGGCTGGGCGTCCATCCAGGTCGGCACGAGGCAGGAGGAAGGGAGCTGTGCTGGGGCTTTCCTGACCCGCGTGCCCGTCGTGGGCCCTTGTTGGCAGTGAGTCCCCGGCCCCGCCTGGCGGAGCCGCTCTCCTCGCCGTTGGGGTGGGAAGGGGGGGGCTTCGGGACGCGGCACAGCGTGCCGGCGTTCTCCCTTTGTCTAGAAAAACGGAGACGTGATTGGAGTGAAATTGTGACTCTTCACGTGTCCGTGGCGCTGCGTTCCCCTCCCCCACCGTGCAGCCATGGGCGAGCTCTGACGCCTGCACGACATCCTCCCCGTTGGAAGTGGGCCGCGGCCGTGAGCGCTGTGCCCCGTGTGTGCGTGTGTGTGAGTGTGCGCGTGTGGCGGTGGGGGCTCTCAGTTCTGATCGTCCCGCGCGGTGAGGTTCTGCGGCCCAGGCTGCCCGCGTCGGGCTTGGTCGCCACGGGGGACGTTCGCATCCGTGTGGAAGGCGCCCACGGGTTACATCTGTGTCGTGGCACGCGTCCCACGTGTCCCTTCCCACCCCCAGCGGTACCCCGCCGTGTGGACGGGGCCCGAGCCGTCTAGGTGCTGGCCGGCCCTGCCCGTCGGTTTGTGTCCGACGTGGGTGTCGCGAGAGGAACGTGGCGGGAAGGGAGCAGGTTCCCCGCCACGCTCGGGCCCCCGGCTCTCGCGTGGCCGCTGGCGCGTTGTCGGTGGGCCTGCCTCGGGCGGCCGCGGATCTGCTTTCTGGGTGCGGCGTTCTCCGGCTGCTCGCTGGCCCCGTGTGTGTCCTGGGGAGACCGGCGCGTGGGGGCCCCTCCCTGCCTGTCCACGGCGTGGCGGCTGTCCCGTCGTCGGCGCCTAGTCCAGCGGCTCCACACGTGTCCTGCTGCTGGGGCGTCAGCCGGACACCTGCCCGATGCCGGGTCTCCGTGGTGGCCGGCGACCCGAGAGGACTCTGTGGGTGGGTGTGGGCGCGTGCGTCTGGCGGAGCCCAGAAAATGGCTCCCCGCGTGGGCTGCTGGGCGCGCTGACCGAACGCACGCGAAGCCGGGGAGCGGAGGTGCCGCGGGGGCCCGGCAGGAAGCTCGGAGCAGCCCAGGTGGGCTGGCTCCTGAAGGGTGCGCGGGAGCTCCCCGGGGGTGGTGAGCCGCGAGCCCGGGCGCGGGAGCCGACGTGCGCGCCTTCCCTCCAGCCAGCGGGAGCAGCCGGCCGCGCCTGGGCCGGAACGGCGGCCTGTTCCCTCCTCGGCGGGGAGCGGGTCCGTCCCGTGGGGGCGAGCCGACGCGGCCCCTCTGTGCAGCTCGCGCGCCCCCTCGCTCACGCTCGCTCTCCCGTCGTCTGCCGCAGGAGGCCGCGGAGGAGGTGACGCGGCGCGTGCACTCGCTGCCCGGCAAGAAGGACGGGCTGGTGCCCATGTTCATCAACACGCACAGTGGCCTCTTCACGCACATGGGCGTGTTCACCCTGGGCGCCCGGGCTGACAGCTACTACGAGTACCTGCTGAAGCAGTGGGTCCAGGGCGGAAAGAAGGAGACCCAGTGAGGCCGGGTTCTGCCGCGCGGCGGGGGCGGGGTCTCCGCGGCTCCCCGCGGCTCCCCGCGGCTCCCTGCGTCCCGGGTTCCCGGTAGGCAGCCGCCGTGCCGGCCCGCGCGCGGCCCCTCCGCAAGGAGCGTGTTTCCTCCAGGCACAGCCTTCGTGTCCAGGAGGAGGGGACCTGGCTGGTCGCTGAGGCCCACGCTCCCCAGCGCCAGGCGGGGCCCGGGCTCGGGGTCCTGCCCGAGGGGCCCCTGCTCGCCAGCTGCGCGGTCGCGGAGGCCACCGTGCACACACGCCCCCCAGCAGAGGGCGGCCTGGTGCCGCCTCAGACGGGGCCGGGGCTCTGAGCCACTAGCGTGTGCTCGGTGGTTCACGGCCACGCGGCCGCTCCTGGGTGCCGGGCGAGGGGGCCGTGCGCCCGGCTGGCCCCGAGCTGACGGGCTGCCGCCCTGCCCAGGTTACTGGAAGACTACCTGGAAGCTATCGACGGGATCCGAAGGCACCTGCTGCGCAGGTCTGAGCCCGGGAAGCTCGCCTTCGTTGGGGAGCTCGCCCACGGCCGGTTCAGCGCCAAGATGGTGAGTGTGCTGCGCACGAGCTGGCCGGGGAGGCGGGGCTTCAGCCCACACCCCACCCCACCCCCGACCGCCCACCCCGGCAGTGTCCTGAGCTGCGACCGATTTGTGAGCCCGACGTCGCAGAGAGCCCCGAAGTGCTGGCCGTGGGCATGCGCCTGGGCCGCGTGGCCTGGGCTGGGGTGGGGGCGGCAGGGGGAGCTGAGGGGGACCCGAGGTCTGCACTGGGTCCCTGGCTGCTCCCCCTGGGTCCCGGGCACCGCTCCCCCTGACCCCCACCGCTTCCCAGGGACCCTCACTCTCCCCTGTGCCCTGGGCCCAGCTCCTGGTCTCCTGCCACCAGCACTGCGGCAGCCCGTTGGTGTCAGTAGGGGAGGGGGGAGACCTGGGTCAGCGTCTGCTCCCCCGGGAGGGGGTGTCTTTCCCCCGCCTCTCCCCTGCTCACATGGAGCGTCACGTCCTGGGCCCGTACTTGAGTCGCTTGCCCGAGTGGACCCTGAGACGTCCCCGCTCGGGCTCGTTGACTCCTGGGGACACGGGAGGCACCATCCCCGGTGTCACCGCCACCCCCCGCCCCATGCGGCCACAGACTCCGCCGTGGTGAGGACCCGCTCTGATTTCAGGACCACCTGGTGTGCTTCCTGCCAGGGACTCTGGCTCTGGGCGCCCACCACGGCCTGCCCGCTGACCACATGGAGCTGGCCCGGGCGCTCATGGACACCTGCTACCAGATGAACCGCCAGATGGAGACCGGGCTGAGCCCCGAAATCGTGCACTTTAACCTGTACCCCCAGAACGACCGCAAGGACGTGCAGGTCAAGGTGAGCCGGGGCCGGGCTCCGGGTGTGGGGGCGCCGTCGGGGCCGTGTCCGAGCTCAGCCCGTGTCCCGCCCCGCCTGCCCCCAGCCGGCCGACAGGCACAACCTGCTGCGGCCCGAGACGGTGGAGAGTCTGTTCTACCTGCACCGCCTCACGGGGGACCCCAAGTACCAGGACTGGGGCTGGGAGATCCTGCGGAGCTTCAACACGTACACACGGGTGAGCTGCCTGCCCGCCGCTCCACTGGGCCGCGGGCATGGGGGAGGGGCAGGCTCGCCGTGGCCTTTGGCGTCGGGGGCACCTAGGGCTCCGGGGCTGGGGTGTCCCTTGGTCCCGTCCCAAGGGCCGAGCCCGTGTGGGGAGCCGGCTGTGGCCGCAGCCTGGACGCCGCCGTCTCGGCCCTGTGCAGGTGCCCTCGGGCGGCTACTCCTCTATCAGCAACGTCCAGGATCCCCTCAACCCCCGGCCCAGGGACAAGATGGAGAGCTTCTTTCTGGGGGAGACGCTTAAGTACCTGTATCTGCTCTTCTCGGACGACCCGAGCCTGCTCAGCTTGGACGCCTACGTGTTCAACACCGAGGCCCACCCCTTGCCCATCTGGGCCCCGCCGGGCGGGGCGTGACTGCCC